AGTGGTGCACAGTTTGTGGGTCCCCTTGGTCTCACGGCTCCTGCTCAAAGAGGAGGGGGCAGATATGGCCAAGGGGGCCTTCATTCATCTTCATCTGGAGATGATGGAGCTGTCACATTTCATTGGTTGGGAGGCCCTTCAAACAGTCATTCATGCTGTAATCATCTCAATGCTTGACTACTGCAATGTGCTATACATGAAGCTGCCCTTAAAAACCACTTGAAATCTTCAACTAGGAAAAAAAAAACCACTATTTTTAAAAATATTTGTATTAGACATTTTATTAGAGAAAATAAACGGAAGGAAAAATAACAACAACAAAAAAAGGGATGAAGGAACAGGTAAAAATGACTTGATGGCACATAATCAATACATTGTATCCACACTACTAAAAGTTTATTCTGATTAAGATTGATTATGTGCCGTCAAGTCAAGTTCAACTCTTAGTGGACACATAGAAAGATTTTCTCCATGATGATGTGTCCCTAACCTGGTCCTTCAGGTCCTCCAATAGGGACCATCAGTACTGTAACTGAGTCCATCCACCTTGCTGCTGGTCATCCTCTTTTTGTCTTACCTTCCACCTTTCCCAGCATTACAGCCTTCTCCAGAGAGCTAGGTCTTTGCATAATGTTGTCTGATGTATTTGAGCCTGATTGCACCTTGAGTGAGAAACCTGGGTTGATTTATTCATTGATGCATTAATTCATTTTCTTGGCTGTCCATGATACTATCAGGAGTTTTTTCCAATACCACATTTCAAAAGCATCAATATTCTTTCTGTTCTGCTTCTTCAAAGTCCATTTCTAATTTAGTATCCATATAAAACTGATATACTGCTAAAACTCTCATGTCTGTTTATCTGTTTGTAACCTTCAATTGGATGAAATGGTGCATCACAGGGCAATATTTTTTTTTAACCCAGGTACCTCAAAAGGGCTAACTTACAGAATGCATCCAAAATTTGGGACCCATTACTTCCATGGGATTGAAAATTGGCAAAGTCGTGGCAGCTTCAGTGCCACCATGCTTCAGTGCTGCCATGCTGCCATGGTCAGCCAAGATCATGTGATCACCACGGGCATATCCCTGACATCTTTCCTGCCTCCCTCTGGCCCTTGCCCCCAATCAGCTAGCAGCAAGGCCCAATGGGCAAGCAGTGATAGGCTGCTTTGCAAGTGAGGCTGAAATCTGAAATCTCTTAATGGCAGTGGGTAGTGAAGGAAGGACGAGGAAGCAACAGATGCCTGCTGGTGATGTAGGGCTGGAGGGGGGACACTGGCAGTTGACAGGTGAGTCCTGTTCCTCCCTGGAGGGAGGTGGCCCTTGGGAACATGCCAGAATGTTTTCCTCATGAACCACAGCTCTCTTGGTTCCCCCTCCCCACAGCAAAGTGTCAGGCAATTCCATGGATCAGCCAAGGAGGAGGAAGTGGCTTCACTGGGGCTCTTTTGATGGTTGTGAGGGGAGGGGAAATGGCACCAGCCTATATTATATGCTGAAAGTAGAATGCTCCCTGCCAGCTTCCCACAAGGTGAGTAAATTTTCTTGGACTTCCACAATAATGGGAAACCCAGTGTTGGATAGCAGAAGGCCCATCTGTCCTAGTGTCTGACTTTGATTTCAATTCATTTGCTAGGCTAGCAGGTTCATGGTCAGGGCTAGTTGTTCCATCTAGATAGCTATTTGCTTCTGTTACTGGAGCAAGGTATTGGCTACCTGGTTGCTGGCCAGCATAGTTGCAGCAGGTATGTTGTCACTGCACTGTGGAAGATCGGATGAGGAAGTATAATGGGGTTCCAGGTTTTTCACCTCACATGAACAGGTTAAAAGTAGTTTACAGATAGTCCTCAAGTTACAGCCATTCCTTCAGCAACCAATAAAAGTTATGGCATCACTGAATGCATGGCACTTATGACCAGTCCTCAAAGGCACTTGGCAACTGGCCTGCATTTATGACTGACTGCAGCATCCCACAGTCATGTTCTTTTGCCCTACGTGAACTGCCTCCACTTCAACTCCCCCCACCAGCCTGTCTCCCGCCCCCCCCAACTCTGCCCCTTTGGCCTTCCTGCACTCCATCACTTACCCCAGCCACCACCACTGCTCCCAGCTGAACCTTCAACATCTCCTTTCTCCCACTACCGGCCAGGGATCCAGGCACTGGGCAAGGGCACAGCCCTGGGAGACATGCAGTGAGCATGGCGATGGAGCCTCATCTGCTGAATGGAGCTTGCTGGGTCCAGCCCAGAAGAAGGCAGAAAAACAGAGTCAGCAGAGGAGGCAGGGTGGTGATGCAAGTGGAGAAGCTCCATCTTCTGCCACTGGTGCAAGGAGCAATAGCCCACAGACTGTGGAGAGCACGGTAGAACAGGATGGAAAGGCACAATATGCCTTAATAAGGGGCTGCAATTTTCTAGAAACATAGAAGCCATAGAAGATTTCAGCTTCTAGAAACATTGTGCAGCCATAGAAGATTGCAGCTTTTATTTTCTCCCCTTCTCTCCATGCTGTTTATTACTGTCTGTCACTGCTACCAAGGGAAGGGGGGAAATAAAAGCAAAAGTAATTCTACTCTGGAGGAGTTTGGGAGCTCTCTAATTCAGCGTGCCAAATTCCTCTTCTACCAGAATCAGTGGCAAATAAATTAAAGAATTAAAAGAATTTTGTCACTAATTCTAGTAGAAGAGGAGTTTGCCAAAGCACTTAGCTTTTTATTTCTTTTCCCCTCAAAAGCAACCTTATGATTTTGGTTGGTAGTATAGAAAACAAATGTTATTGCAGACAAGATATAGACTAAAAGGAACTAGTATTTTTTTTTACATTTACTCAAGCACCCTCAAGTTTTCAAAGGAATTGACATAATAATCAATTTCTCTGCATGAAAGCTGTCAGACAAATCAGTATTCGAAAAGGTTGAGAAGTATACATTTAATAATTTCCTTATAGATCTCCATATCACCACTCCAATCACTCTAGTTTGCTTTGAAAAATAAAAATAAATCATATAGAACATTCTAACCTTTTTTAAAAAATTCTAAAAATAACAAAACAGATATCTAAAACCTCAAAAATCTATAACCATAATAACTTTGTCAGCTGAAATGAACTAACTGAAATTAACAGGCTCCATCAATTTAATGATCCATGAACAAAGTAAGCAACCACCCAGCTTATAAAGTTTCAACAATATAAGATTGGAACTTTTCATACCTTTGCACCTTCAATGTCCTTTTGCCCTTATCCCTTGTCAGATCCTTCATATGTGCAAAGAATATACCTTTATAGCATTTGTAGTTTATACTTTGAATTTGTCCACAAAGCACATACTGTATAAATGACCAGTTAATCTTCTGTGAGCAGGTCTATCAATGTAAACCAAATTATATGGATTAGGACTAGAAATGTTATCAAGATAGCAGCAGCATATACTGTATATATAATACATTCCCAAACTGTCTTCGACGACAGCCATGTGGAGGTATAAAAGTAATGGATTTTCTAAACAGGACATGTCATTCCCCTATTGTGATATTAAATGATAGATCCCAACTTCCCAGATAAATGTGCAGGTCACATTATAGTATAGAATATATTGGATGTTCCATCTATTTGATCTTGCAGCTCATTTTTATATGAATATACATGTCTAGAAATTAGATTTTGGGAAAATACAGGTTTCCCTTATGCTTATATGTGGGTGGTGTTTTTCATGGTATTTTGGTTAAAAATTTGAGGATCATCTTATGATGGGCTTATACGTGAGTATATATGGCAGTCTTCTATTCCTCAACACTGTGACCCCTCTCATCTTTTAAGCAGGTTGTACTGATATTAAAATATTTTTCTCCATATTAATGCTGAGAATTTGTCTTGAATTATTAAAAGTTTGTTGTGACACACACTTTTTCTGTTGTTATTCCTTTCTCTATTCCAGCCTATATTGTTGGCATCTTATGAAAATTGTACATTTTTTTTTTTTTAATCCACAAACCAGAAGGAGCACCCTGGCCTTGGAAAAGTACATTTAGGCAGATGAAACAAACTTAGGACAACAAGTTAGGACATTGAGATTTACTCAGGCATTGAAATGTATACAAGTTTGATGCCATCATTTTTAGCAGTTTTCTTGGTAGCAACAAAGGAGTGATTTCTTATTGCCTCCTTCTGGATTTTTTTTTTTTATTATTATTTTCTTGTGTACTCTATGAGCCTTGCTTTTTCTATTTTCACACCCAAGTACTAACCAGTTCTGATCATGCTTAGGTTTTTTCTTTAAATGCAGACACACACACACACACACACACACACAGACATATACATATACAGCATAAGCACAATCAATTAATACTTTTCTTATATTCAGCCTGCATTATTATCCTATTCTAACAACTACCCAGCCATTCCTCATTCACAACCTAGTAGAGGAACATTTCATTTAAAAATCATGATTAAGGAGATGGACCATTTTTTGAGGCCAAGTTAGGATGTGCCTTACACTGCTGCCTTCTGGTGATAGCACTTTTATTATCTAACTACAAGAGAATTGGTTTGATTTTCAGTTTATATAAGTCAAACACCACCCCAAATTGTTACCAGATGAAGAGCAAAAGAAGGATCTTCCTTCATAACTAACTTCCTCTTTCTTATTTTCTGAGCCTCATGTCATCCCAGTCCACTTGCTTTCTTAATTTTTCCAGAGAAGAATGCAAGAAAACATGACCATAAATGATAGGAAGAAGGAGCAGGGGCAGGAGCTTGAATAAGTGAAAGTGTATGGAGTTGTGAAAAGCAAAATGTTAGTCTTTAATTTAATGAAGATTTCTCATAAACACAATCCCAGCAACCTATTAGATCATTATTAATAAAACTAACTTAATCTGGCATCTGTATTAAATATTCCGTTGTATCAAAGAGGAAGATTTTGAATACCAGAACATGTTTCAGAACTAGTGGATTTATTTATCACTACAAGAGCACAGGCTTAACATCAAATAATTTTATACCATATGAGAAATCAAGGATTTGTAGCCCATTAGTTTCTTGATAGCTTCTTTCACTTCTCGGGTTTTCAGGCTGTAGATAAGGGGGTTCAACATGGGGGTTGAAATGTTGTACTGAATTGAGAACAATTCATCAATGATGACTGAGGAGGCTGAGCTGGGTCTCAGGTATCTGAAACAGCCAGTGCTATAATACAAAATCACAATCATAAGATGGGAACTGCAAGTAGAGAAGGTTTTCCTTTTGGCTTCTGTTGAATTCAGTTTCAGGATAGTGGAAATGATGTAGGTATAGGACACTAGAATAACAATTATTGAATAAGCACCAACTGAACAACAAGCAATCAAGTATGTAATCTGATTCACAAATGTTTCTGTGCAAGATAAGGCAAGTAGAGATGGAAGTTCACAGCTGAAATGCCTGATAATATTTGGTCCACAGAAAGCTAGCTTCAAAACAGGGAATGTATTTATTAGAGCATAAAAGAAACCCATTGTCCATGCACCACCCACCAACCATCTACAAAATGCTATGTTCATAATCTGTTCATAATGCAACGGCTTGCAAATAGCAGCATACCGGTCATAAGCCATTGCTGCAAGTAGGAAAATTTCAGTGCATGCTGTCAGAAGAATAAAAAACATCTGAGTGATACAGCCTGTATGTGAAATTGTTTGACTGATAGTCAAATTCATTAGCACCTTAGGTACAGTGATGGAAGAAAAGCAGATATCAAGAAAAGACAGGTGACTTAGAAAGAAGTACATAGGGCTATGGAGGTGATTTACATTGATTGCCACCATAATCATCATATTTCCAACCAAAGTGATTACATAGATCAAAGCAAATACGAAGAAGAGGAAAATCTGAACTGATAAATTGCCTGGAAATCCCAAGAGAATGAAAGAAGTCAGTCTGGTCTGATTTTCCATTTCTTTTTCCCCAGTAGTAATACAAGCTATAATTAAAGAAAACAATCAAAATTACTAGGTAAAGCAAAATGAACTTTTAAAAAAAATGCATAAAGTAAAAAGAGAAAGAGCTACCTTTTAATAGCAGTTAATTTTTGTCTTGTCATCTAGCATTCTCCAGTAGGTATTACTATCTGTATTTCATGCCCTGTCAGATAATTTTGAAACATTTGTCTAACAGTGATAAAATATAAACTTACTACCCTTTAAATATCTGCTAGTAGATTTAAATGTATACTATAAAGTATAGTATTTAAATATTGAAGTATAGACTATGTTTGGGCCTATACTGATATTCTTAATGGGGTAGTGCTGTCCATATTTATTCTAACATTACTTCCTCTGTGTTTAATTGACCTTACTCTTTAACAATTCTGCCAACAAATGCAATCTAGAGGTGGAAGTTTCTTTTTCTACTACTGCCCACCCAATATCTTTTTTTTTTTTTTTTTTGGTCTCAGTCTTCCTATGAAGACAAAAGAATGAAAAAAAGAATCTATCACTTGCTGGGGAAGATGGGGCTATGGATATAAAACAGAAATTAGATTACTGCAGAAGCTCCAACTCAGACTCCAGATAAATAATAGGTAGAACATCTGCCTACTAGACAATCTGAATTCAAGCCTGTTCCAGAGTTTAATTTCCCATCCTTCTTTTCGCCTCTTTGAGTCAGCAAAACATTGCCATTCTATTCTTGGCCTTCAGATTGCAATCTGCACATTGTTCCTATAATGCTTCTGTCTACCCTGAAAGCCACTGCTTCCTGCCTATCACTTTCAGCACCTGCCATGCAAGATTTATTAGATTTGTTTAACATACATATTACAAAAGATTTTTCTAAGATAGGTACTAGACATATGGATGCTAGGGCCCCAGAGCTTTGGATTGGACCTTTAAATGGTGCTTTGGAATATACAGGGGTATGAATGTGGCACCTGTCTGTCAGCTGCATGACATTCATACTCCCACATGCTCCAAAGCACCTTTTTGCAATCAAATCTAAAGGTCTGCACACTCATAATAGATACAAACATTGGTATAGGACTAGTACTGAATTAGGATTTTTTTTTCCAGATAGGTTTATCTTCTTTAACATTTAATTGCAAATGGAAACCATGTCAAATTTTATTTTAGTGAGATGCAATATGCAATGTTTTAAATAATATAAATAAATAAAGACCTTGAAATGGGAGGTAATTGCAGTATGCAAATGAGTTCTGATCAATATCGAATCATTTAATCATGATTGATCCAATTTGAAAGTTAACTCAGTTAAGAAACTCCATCAATCTACCTTTGAATTTAATCTCTGAATCAAATATCAGACATCTGTAATAAGCAAATCCCTTGTAAATTGGGACATGCTGCAATTACTACAATTCCTCAGTACTGATTGGAAAAAAATGATTTACTGAGATCTTTAAAGGTGAAAATATGGAAGAATACAACCTCTAACATCCATCAATTTTTAATTTGTCTAGCTAAATAGGAAAAAAAAAATTCAGCAAACTTTGTAAGAGTTGCATGAAAAGAACTTTCTCAAGTTATAGAAATCATGTGGATTTTTTTCATTTCTTAGTTTGGCTCACATTGTAGGAGGAAAGCAGTTTTAGTTTATGGTACCAAAAGATCTAACAAATGTTATTTAAAGGCATAAGCTTTCTGCAGCTTATGTGAAAGTTTACAGGTAGTCCTCAATTACCGAACACTCATTCAATGACAGTCTGAAGTTACGACAGCACTGAACAAGGAGACTTACATCCAGTCCTCATAGTTTCAACCATCACAGCATCCCACAGTCACATGATCGCCATTTGTGACCTTCACTGCTGGTTTCTGACAAGCAAAGTCAATAAGGAGGTGATATTGCGCTGAATGACTGTTCAGGACTCACTTAACAATGGCAACCAGAACTGCCACAACAGCCATCATAAGTTGGCACAGTCACATGATGTTTCACTTTCCAACCATGTCCTTAACAATGGAGTTGCCAGTCCTACTTACTGTTGTTAAGAAATGTGTGTGTGTATATATTAGGCACAGGGCTTAATGACACTGGAGTTTGCCGGTCAGAAATGGTCAGCACTCCAGCAGTTCGGGCCCAGCTCCCATCACTTGTCCTAGCTTCTGCTTACCCAGCAGTTCGAAAGCAATTCCATCTGAGAGTAGATAAATGGGGACTCCCATCTAGATGGGAGGAACCAGCGGTGCTGCGCGGGGGAGAAAAATACTGGTGCTAGACCGAACTCTGAATGCAACCAGCAAGAGCGATGATCGATGTGAGTGGCGCAAAAGAACTACGGAGGAGGAAAAGCCTGGGTGACCCCCTAGCGACCACTGCTGGTCACATAGTGTAATATACAGCACTGTAGATTTGTAATTGTAAGAATTGTTAGTCACTGTTAGAATTATATACTTTGTGAGCCACCCAGAGTTCCCCACTGGGGGGAGATGGGCGGAGAATAAATTGAATGTATATAAATATATCTTTTCATAAAGTGTGTTACTTAGAAAATGTGCTACCAGAGTCCTCCAGATTTTTTGCTTGTTAGGCTAAGAAATATTATTTTTGCAATTTCCCTCCATCACAGTGCTTAAAAAACTTATACTGCATTTTATTTGAAGTAAAATGGTAATAAAATAGTTGGTTTGAGGAAAATAATGTTTAATTCCTTTGTCATATATTTTCAAGGGATAATTATAATGCTTTAATAATACTTGTATATGGCGGTGGGACCACATGGAGATGTATCATCACCTATATTTTTCTTACTTTTTCTCTCACATGTTCATAGTATGCCAATATTACACTGTAGGAGAAAAATATTGTACAGAAATATATTACTCATGACATGGAACAGGTTCTGAGAAGAAAAACAACAAAAAACAAAAAAACCTCAAATCAGGGTTTCCATGATTTACTCACCTTGACACTGCAGTTTATTCCAATGATGTCTGCAACAATTCAACATTCTTCAGGAAGATGATGATGATGATGATGATGATGATGATGATGATGATGATGAAGAAGAAGAAGAAGAAGAAGAAACTATTTCCATGAAAAAAGGGGAGGAAAAAGCAACTAATCTATTTTGAGTTCATTCATACTAAAAGGAAAAAGAAAGAAGACTAAATTTTCTCATTAAAGATATATTAAATAATATGCTATTTGCTTCAAGGGAATAATAGGTATCCCTTGAATCTGGTACTGAGAATGTTCTAATCCCAAATTTTTGTAAGGACTACGGTGTTTTTATCAAGCAAAATATGAAAATATTCTGGGGGAGAGGGGGAGAGGATTATGTAATATCCCTTTTCCTTCTGGAATTCATCCCAGGACATTTTTCTAAGTCAGCGTAAATTCTGTTGAGGATTTACACTGATGCATTGTTGTTCCCAAAGGAAAATATGTTCAACATTGATAGATACAGAGGAAAAAGATGGAAGAAGAAAACATACTCATGGCTAAGAAGATTTTTATTGCTCATGATAACCAGCATGATGATTATATTCCCTATGAGTGTTACTGAATAACTAAATATAAAATGAAGGATCAGGCAAATTTTGTCTGGATCATGGCATGAAAATGCAAATAACATGATTGTATAACTTTGGGGCTATTATTTTCTATTTCATTTTGGAAAACTTGGAAGCTAAAGGAGAAGATTAGAAATGTACTTAAGGCAAAAGTAGTTCTTGTGTTGGAAGTCTGCAAAGGGTAGGCTGTTAAAGAACTATGCTAGCATTCACTGGTGAAAAAAAGCACAGAAATAAAAATACATATTAATCAAAATTGAATATTCAAAATGTCAGTTACAATTAAAACTGATACCAAAGTTTCATCTCTTGAAATACATGGCTCATTCTTTTCTCTGTTTTCTTGCAAACAGCAATAGATATTACCTAGCAAGAGTATACAGGTGTTGCCAAGCATGATCAAGTTCAAAAATAAATCCCAGGGGTAAATTTAGTATTTTCTCATTATGTAAGATAAATATCTGTAATCTGTAAATACATTGTAGGCTTTAGGTAGGTACACAAGGCATAGATTTCAGTATTAACCAAAGCAATTGTAGAAATGTAAAGAAAAAAAGCTAAGGAGGGAACAAATGGGTAATATTGATTCCCCAAACAATCATGGGACAAGCCAGATAAGGGGAAAGAGTAGTTGTTCAATGGGGCAGATTTCTGAGCACTATCTCTTTGCACAATAGTCCCTACAACTCGATTTCTCAACAACAGAAATTGCCTAGAATGTATAAAGGCACTTCAGATTTATGCTAAAAATGTGAAACAGAAGGGACATTTTATCATGCTTGGTGGATGCATAAAAACGCTAGAAAATTTTGGATTCAAATACGTATACTGATTCCGAGGATTTTAAAGATTAATATAAAATTGAGAGCAGAGGTTTTTCTTTTGGGGTTGATGGACAAACAGTTGGAAAAAAGTCATGGAACCTTGTTTTTGTACATGACAACTACAGCAGTATTATTATATGCATAAAGATGGAAAGATTCAGCATTTCCTACAAAGAAGGAATGGTTGATCAGGATGACGGAACTTGCTGAAATGGCTAAATTGACTTCTTTGATTAGAGAAAAGACAATATCTGTGTTTATTGCTGACTGGAAACTCCCTATGGACTTTTTGCGTGAAACAGAAAAAAAAAAACCTTACAATTTTTGGTTCTGATGATTCGACAGGATAGATTATAGAAAGAAGATAGTCATGATGTAACTTTAGAGAAAGAAGTAAATTTATAATTGTACTTTTAACTGTTGTAAAGAAGATCAGAAGTATTTTTTTCTTTCTTTTCTGTTTTTCTTTTATTTTTTTCTTTCTTGCACTTTTAGTTTTCCCTTTGATTTATTTCATTTTTTCTTCTTTACTTTATATTAGTTTGCATTAGTTTTTATCTTTGTTTTTAAAATGTCAATAAAATTATATAAAAAGAATAG